GGAATATTTTACAACATATATTAGCCACTTAAAGACAAGAATGCCCTGGTACGGCCGAGAGCGGGGAGAGTCCGCTGTTGCTGTCGTCATTGTCATCAACATCGTTGTTGTTGTAGGCGACCGTGGCAATAATGGCGATGGTTTTGGTGACACTGATGATAATTGATCACTTTTAAATAACATTTCATGTTGTGAATCATCCATCGACAATCAATCATTTCTTGACTTTTTTTGACATCATACGACAATCCATTTCGGATAATCTCAATTCTCCATCACTATTATTATGATGTTGATGACCATGGTGTCCATTATATACATTATATTGTGTATCATCTAACGTTGACGATTGATTCTCCATAAATTTTTTATCTTCATCATTTAATGGTATATTAAAACGTAATTTCAACTCTATTAATTCATGATGTAATTTATTATATTGTGTTTGTAATTGATTAATACGACATTCCATGAGAATATCATTTTGTCGACGTTTTTCACGTGACCGTTTGGCTGCTTCATCACTTATACGCCGACATCCTCAATATTTATCGTCTTTTTTAGAATGTGGTATAAATTTACAATGTTTACGATCACGTCCTACAGAACTCAATAGACTATTATTTATTGATGATGAATGAAGATTGATTTGTTGTGATGTTACTGGTATCGGTGTTAAGGTTGTTGATGACGATGAAGACATGTTTCGGTGTTTAGTTAGCTGGTATATTCCAATTCTAGTTAAAAATCTTAGCATGAATGTGTCAAATGATACCTGATATTATTTTTATTTGATTGTAATCACTTACCAACATGTCGGATATTTCAAGTCTTGATTTTGTGTTCACCTTGTATTTCTCAAAAAGGCCTTTATTCAGATGTTTATATGGTTGATAGGCGGATTTTCAGCTCGCTATCACAGCTGATTTAACGTTGATATTTAACAGAAATCACCTTTATAGTTTAGCTACAGGCATTTTAATATCTTCTCAATTAAAATACTTTGTGTGTTTTAAATGTACAAATGATAATGTTGCAAATAATATCCAATACTTCAGTTTTGTATCTGTTTGCTCAGAAAGGTACATCTTACTACAGTCAACGAAACTCATGTTTCATTACGGACCTCACAACCATACTGTACAACATTATTGTCAATAAAGTTATACTGATAAGCATTTTTAAACCACAAATCAATCCATTATCAAACAGAGTCAAGTTTGGCATTATATTATATTATATTAAAATTTGTTCAGAGTTTCCGGGCATTATTAAATTCAATAGTTTACGTCATCACATTTATTAGACATCCAATGAAAATCAGTAAGCAACAAAAATTAGTTAATCAGATGTACATGATCCAGTTAGTTATTCTCCATTTATTTTTTGTAAAATATAAAATGAGATGAAACAATGATGAATCATTTGAGTCATTTGAGGCTTAACATTCGATCGTTCTTATGAGATTTATAGTTGGATATATAATAGTAAATAAATCAATAAATTATACAAATGTTTAAATGTAGTAATTCTAACTATAGTTGACATGTGTACATTAAAGTAGTAACTAACTTCTATCCTGCTTGCGAAAAAGAAGTAACTGCTATCCTTGTTGTCGTTAATTTGCTTCAATGACCAAACTACCTTGTCTTACAGATCAATTTTTTTATTTACTATTATATATCCAACTATAAAATTCATATGAACGATCGAATGTTAGGCCTCTTGATACTCAAATGACTCATCATTGTTTCATCTCATTTTATATTTCACAAAAATTAAATGGAGGATAACTAACTGTATCATGTACATCTGATTAGCTATTTATTTCTTTGGGAAGTGTCTTGCGACGTAGTTCGGTGCTTTCATCAATGTGTGTTATTATTATTATTATTATTATTCACAAACATCTTATGGGTACATAGGTGTTGTGAAGATACCATTTCGGGTTTCCTCAAACATACAATAATACACAAGTTTCAATAATGTTAGGATTATATTTGCCATATTTGGAAAACAGAATGATGATATTAATAATAATAGGATAATAATAAATCAGGTTCTGTGTAATTGAGAGGAATATTGAATGGAGTTGAAAGAAGGAAAAGGAGAAAATGAGGCAAGAGAAATAAAGGAGACGTGAAATACGCAAATCGTTTAATAAGCGTGTTTATGAACACAGAACAAGAATAAACGACTATGTATGTATCGTCAAATTGGTAACAAGAATCAAAATAAAAAATAATTAAGAAAAAATAACTTATAATTGCAGTAAGTTATGACACTAGAATATGAATGTTTGTGCAGTCATAGTTTGGAGTGATGCTATAAAAGTCTCAATTATTAAGTGAAAAGGATAACCAATTATCAATATGTATGAGTCATAGTGAAGATGCATAGTGAAGATGAAACGAGTTTGACAAGTTAAATGTAGCACAAGTTATTGTCTTAATGAGAAACCTCGCAAACTTAAGAATAATATTTATTTAGAAGGGAAAAGAGAGAGGGAAAAGAAATGAACATCTAGTGAAAGGGTTCAATCATGATAATAATCATAATAATCGTGTAATGCATATCAACCTCTGAAGTAAACCATCAATTAAGAAAAAAACAAACAACTTTTTAATGCACTCGGATAAATACCATGTAGATTTATGTAATCGTATACAGAGTGAAGCCGGATATTAGTATAAACAGTTTGTGTAATAATAATAATGATTAAAAATGATGCTATAAAATTCACAATTAGTTCCAAAGGATAATCAAATATCAATTACTGTGTTATATGTATATATATATGGTGAAGATAAAACGAATCAGAGAAGTAGATTTATTGAAGTGTAACATAAGATAATTTGTTATTACTTATAAACTTTGAATGTTTACGAATAAAATATGTTTAGGATGAATAGTAGAGATGAAAAGAATATCTTATGTGTCGAGGGACCAATAATGATATTAATAACGGTAATAAATATAAATACGAACATAAGCAGACTTCATATATTAAGATGAATAGAAATAAAATAAAATAGACGTTGAAAGTTTCAAAGGTTACATTTTGCTTTTCAGTCAATTACATAGATGAAGGACCTTGTTTGTATAAATCATTATTTAATACATTGATATTCAAAAAGTGACACAATCCACCGTCGGAATGAAAATCCATTTCCAGCGCTTCTTCCCGATTTCTTCCTCCGTTGGGATCTGGTTTGTTCTCTCCCACAGTAGGTTGTTGCTAATAGTGTCTGGCCAACGGACCTGAAGTATTTTGCGTAGACAACTGTTAATAACGCATCTATTATTTGTGATGTTCCAACGAGCATCAATCGCCTCTTCGTCCCTCAAGCCTTCAGATGTCAAGTATTTCGACAACTGCACGAACTTTCATATCGAGGAATCAGAGCCACCACTAAATTGATTACTGAAGGTTTCGTGTGGCCGAAAATTAACTCAGATATAAAACGATGGACCCGAAGCTGTATACAATGTCAACGCAGCAAAATTCAGAAACATAAAATAAGTCCCGTTGGGAAGTTCTTTCTGCCAGAAAAACGCTTCCAACACATTCATCCAGACATAGTCGGTCCACTGCCACCGCCAAATTCATTCACTCATATCCTCACTGCACTGGACCGGTTCACAAGATGGGCCATAGCATTTCCTATTACCTATACCTCTGCAGAGACAGTAACCGCCGCATCCCTTGAGCGTTGGATATCAAAATACGGAGTACCATCCATCGTCACTACAGACCGTGATCCCCAGTTACAGTTTATCCTATTTCAGGAATTCACAAAACTTCTGGGTGTGAACCACATCAAAACAACAGCCTATCATCCAGCAGCTAATGGTCTGTTCGAAAGGTTTCACCGCCAATTAAAAAGCTCACTGATGGCACACGACGATACATCAAAGTGGAGAGACGCATTACCACTCGTACTCCTAGGAATCCGTTCAACCATAAAGGAAGATATAGGTTGCACAGTCGCTGAACTAGTTTACGGCACAACTCTTACGTTATCAGGCCAATGAGTGGACCCAGACACATCAGTACCAACTGATCCAAGTCGTTTTGCTAACCAACTACCACAATCATTGCAAAGAATCGAAGCAATACCGCCGCGAGAACATAATAATCAAATACAACTCGACAAAAACCTAGAAACATGCAAATTTGTCTTCGTTCGAGTTGACGCTGTTAAAAAGCCACTGAAACAACCTTACGACGGACCATATCAAGTTATTAAAAGAACAAACAAAAACTTCATAATGAACAAGTGCGGAAAGAAGGAGGCCATCGCTATTGATAGGAAAAAACCTGCTTTCTACGTAGCTCAACTAGACAAAGAAGATAACACGGCACTTAATCAACCCCTCCCACCAATCACTACTTGAGCAGAGGGGGATGAAAAACCGAGTACCAAACGTACTTGTTTAGCACGTTCAGGCAGGACTGTAAAAAAATAATAACAAACAATTATCGATGCACTACACTGTTAAATTTTTAGTGACTCACTTTTATCACGAGAACACGATTGGTTTATTGAAATCAATTATTATTATTATTATAACCAATTGTACCTGTGCTTGTTTAATGTGCTCTTTGTTTAACCGTGCTAAAAGCATCCATTATTATTATTATTACACTTTGATTGTGGCCTCGCGCGAATTCGGTTACGCTCAGTAACCAAGCTTGTATCCTGGCACGATCTCGGTATCCTTTCGATACCACGAGATCACCAGCAAATAGATCTCGATTTGGTCCATTAACTGTTTTCTGATATTTGGCTTCCGGGGGATTTTATGGATTCATTTGGTACGTGTTTCTCTGTAGCGGTGTTCATAGTCAAACGCAACTCGAGGCCACGCTACAAATTCACCCGATTTCTCAATAAAATCTACTAGATTTTCTGATAACGTGTATATAATTAATCATATTTTTCCACAATTACTCGTTTTGTCAGTTTTTTTTAAAAGAGAAAATTTTTGTGGGTTTATTAACAGTTTTGCACATTATTATTATTATTATTATTATTATTATTATTATTATTATTATTATTATTATTATTATTATTATTATTATTATTATTATTAGGAAACCAGAACTTTGAATAAGCGTATTTTCATTCCTTTTGTGGTTGTTATTGCTATGCTACATCAATGCTACTTTTACACAATAACACATCGTATATTACTAATGTGCATGTCATACCCATCTCCACATTTTTTGTTGGTTATTACTATAAATAATATTTTTGCATACATGTATATACCATATCCTTACAAATTTTTTTGTTGCTATTATAACCAGTCTTACCCCCGGACACTCCGGTGGGAGCTATGTGGAGATATGCCTGATGAGCTTATTTTGTAAATAGTTTTTGATGTTATTTGCATTTATTTTGTCAATTTTTCACTCCATGTACATTTATCATTAAATGATTGTACGTGTTGTTTAAGTGTATGACCGTGAACACACTTTCCTTCCGTTGTGTAAATTCATAGCATGACACACTGTTGACTGCTAACAAATACATTGTTGCACACATACTTCTCGTTCTACATTATCTAGTGATTGCGTTAACTGAACTCTAACTTGAATACCGTCTACATTTATAGACTGCAATCGGAATATACCATAATCTACGTTGGATTATACCACTGGGGAATTAATCAAACTTACTGGAACCATCAATCATCTATAATTTTGGACTTTTGGAACCAGACTCAATCAGAACAAGCACTAACTTTGCTGAATTTAGTAACGTCCCTCAATTTTTTGTGTTTATAACATTTAACTTATATATATTGACAATATTACTTGTACTTAATAACTCTATTATCATTTTTCGGTTGATATATATTCTGGTCCAACACAGTATAATTGTTTATAGTATTCTGTAGACTCTTTAAAAAGCTTTTCTTTGTACAAGTATCTGCACTTGCGGAGAGTCAAGGCACAAATATTTCGAGCATCCCGATGTTGGGATTTCGTCTCGTCAGTATCAAGTAACCTAAATTTCTCCCACGTTCTTCTCCTTTTACTGAGAAGGTTGAAGACATGTAGAACTATGATCTATATTCGTCATTGGTACATTTGTCTTTGCTTCTATAATAACAAACCTAACCTCAAAATTGCAGATGTCATGATGTAAAAATCTAATCTATAAATCTTGAAAAGAGAACTCGAAAATTGGGCAGGCAGTGTTCAGAAGAAAAGATATTCAGGGATAGACCATAGGTTAACATAGATTAAGGTGTTAAATGGGAAAACAAGATGAAAAATTAGATCCAGATAAATATCCAGTCTTCGACTACGTCGACTAAGGGCCATATTTACCAGTGGTTGATGCTTTAACAAACCTATTTCACTAAAGCAGGTAAGTACTTTTAAAGGTTGTTAATGAACCACTATAGCTATTTATAAACATAAATTATCAGTTATTAGCATCGAGTACTAATCAATTCACAACACGATAATACACGTGGGCATAAATCAACAGAATAATAAAAAAATGATTCAACATAAGTAAAAATCAATCGATAAAGTGGACAGGAGACTTAATGTCAGGTTGAGCATCTTTAATCGATCTTATCAATTCGTTATTAGTACATTTGCCTTTGCTACAATGATAATAAACCTAACCCCTAAATTGTAGATGCGCTATGATGTGAAAACCTAATCTATAAGATCTTACATGAACGTCGCACAATTGTCTACACTAAATCGTCCTATTGCAAAAATCAGAGATATAACATCCAACACATTTGGACTGAGTAGAGTGTAATATATTCAACACAGAACGCGACAGGTTTTAGACAGAGTGACTACGCCTTCACGGCCAAGTCATGCTGCTCGAAATCATTGTTCCCGTGTTCGCCCTTACTGACCTCCTCCAAGTGTTACATGTTGAATGTCAAGCTTCTCAGCAGTTATATGTTCAGCTTCAAGGATCGTGTGGCTTGGAATTAACGCAATTACAAACCTCTCTACTGAACCACAGTGAGGAGTTTCTCGGACACTTTAGTGCAGTTCAAGGGATGTGCGGTGCAGTGACTTTATGCACGAATTTCTGAACACATACCAGGCCGTTTCAATGGGGGACTCCGGTTCCATTGTGTAATCTACTGAAGATGCCGAGTGCATAATACTTTTTATATTTGTTCTCCAGATGGTTGGTCTAGCTTGGTATGACATATCTTCGTTAATGACATCCAAATGGAAATCAAAGGCTAGATCTGCATAATCATTTCTGTCCAGGGATGACATATAGTGGAGTTTGTGAAGTCATTCTCATAATGGGTTAGTATGAGATCTAGTAAGGATTGAAGATGCCACAGGCATTTGGGGTTTGACAACTCTTTGACCAGTAACACCTCCTACTATGAATCGTACCCACAAAATGAAATCAAAAGACAGAAGCGAGGAGGTTCGAAGATATATTTGATAGGCTCTCAATATATCGAGGATCGACTGATCTATATTGGCTAGCGATTACACGAGAAGTTGACCACAGCATTCCTACTCGTCATCTGGTGCGGATACATGACCGGGCGCCTTCATCAGCTAGGCGATTCCATTAAAATTGATGTGGTCAGCATCCAATGTCGAAGGTTTACAGAGCTATTTATTTTGGGGATTTATTTACCGCTATAGAGTGATTCAGAGTCCGGGCCGCACCTAGTCGCTTCTTCCACATGTTGCACTAGGGCATATATGATAACCTTAGCAACTAGTTTTTGTTCGAAAGAATTTTGTGACAATTCAGTCCTCAGATTTTTCAAGTCCATCGTATGTGCGTTATAGCCTCCTAAAATTTAACGTCGACCACTTGATCACCAAGTGTTGAGACTGTCCAGCAAGGCCTCATTTGCCTCACAGATTGGACTGCAACAGACCAAATCAATCAGCAGTTCTTGCCCTTTCCATTTCAAGCGGCAACTAACTAATTCGAGCATCACGCTTTCATGGGATATGTTATCAATAGCGGTAATATGGGATATTATTTCTGATAAATAGCTACTGTTCCTCCCTTATACTTCTAGGTTCTGTTGGCTCTTCCTAATGCGAAACTATCAAGTTTCCGTGACTGCGATAGCATCCGGATTGGTAGAGTTTATCTGTGCATTTAGCTCCGATCTCTTGTTGAACGAGCTCCAGGCATTTATGCAACAGAACGGAAGACCGACTTAATTGCTTCATGATGCACCCAAAGTGGCTTCGTCATCATTCTTTGTCGAAACCTCAACGCATCCGAAAATTTATAATTCCAAGGTCCTTCTTGTCAGCTTCCGACCCTAGTTTCGGCTCTTTTTCAGCTTATCGTCTTTTTATGCGGTCCGCGATCGGCGAGTCTTTACGGACAAAAACCATTGACCCCTCCAGTTTATATCCATTCTGTAGTATTAAGGCCCCTTACGTTGGGAGATCTCAATACTACTTTTAGCAGCCATGGACTTGATTCTGTATTAAGGCCATTTGGCTGCCTTGTATATAAAAACTTAGCAAAGTGACTTTAGATATATCCTGAGGCATTAGCTGGTTTAGTAGCTTTTTTATAAACTCAGTGTCATGCTGGAAACGAGTTCTAGGTTCTGAGCTTTCACTCTCCTTGGCTCAATGAAAGACAACTGACCTGTCACTATGGTCAGTCTTCAATTTCTCAGCTACTGTTTGGGGGAATGTCTTTTCTTTAGCAACATTACATCGTTTCTTATTCTTGATCTGTACCCATCCATCAACTTTCATTGGAGTAGGGATCACAGTCGCTTTACACACATTGAGGGGCTCTGGATAACTATCAATAACTTGAGTATTTGTGTTTTTGCTTTCCTGCTAGAAAAAGACCTGGGCTTGCGACCAGGCTTTCTAGACGTTTCTTTCTCACTGCCATTCGGAGGACGTGGGACAGAAGAGACTTGCTTTTATTTCTCCTGCATACCTTCTCTTCAAATACCTATCTCCAATATTAAAAACTCTCCATACACAACATATTATTAAAAACTCACCGTTGTTTAGATCGAAATAACAAACCAGAAACTTGACAACGAAATCACGATAAGTCATGGCGTCAACTCACAATATGCTAGCATCCCGACTATCAAGGCTTAGTACTTTTTGGTTAGCTAGAATGGAACACAACTGTATCAGGATGATTATTGAGTACCAGTGAGTTCGTCGAGACCTTAAACTTTTGTTTAGAAATCAATTAACTTGCGTTTAAAGGAAACTCATGTAGACAGACCATTGAAGCTGCGATGGATTTCCCTGCGTAACCTGTAGGGGCTGATACTATTTCAAGCCCACGTAGGTTGTCCGAGCCTCTGGATAGATCAGTTTATCTATTCTTCTCAAACCACATTTTACCCTGTCGCTTATTAACCTTGACTGTTTCTATGTAAGCGTATGTGAGTGCATTTTTTATCTTACTCATCACATGTCTGTAACTTATTTTTGTTCGACTATAAATATAGATTCACACTTGACTCACTCGCCTTCTCGATTGCGCGTCATCTCGTTTTGCTTCGCTTTCCAATCACGATTGTACGAAATACACATATTCGAAAATCCACGGCGCGCAATCCTAATTAGTGTTGGAGGTGGTCGGAAGCAAGTGGCGACCGAACCAAAACGTGGAATCAGTCCTTGAAATCACTAACTTCTAGTCTGAGCTATGTTGTTAGACTCAGACTACTTGGTTGCAGTCCGCGTGACTATTGTGACCAATGGTTGGATGTGTGACATGGATCAGAACGGATCACAATGATACAGGTGTATGCACTCTTTGTCTTCCCTTGAACCATGAGATTAAAATTACTTTATACCTTTCTTTCTACGAACTAATTCTTCCTTCCTGTATAATATCTTTATACACAACCTTTCTTTTATATGTTCCTAGCATTGAAGTAACTACTTCTATGAATTTGGTGTCGTAACATTTGTTATTGAAAATTCTGACAGCTGTTCTGAATTCCAGATGTTTTTTTAACTGTAGGAACGATTCCATTCCTCCACCAATCCGTTCTTTCACATCTGCAGATTCCCAATGCCTATAGATGATGTCGCCTAGGTACGTGATTTCCTACATCTTCCGGAACTCCACCAAGTGTGGTTTGGTTGGTGCTCACTGTTGTATTTTAGAATCCTGGTTATTTCATTCTGTATGTTGAGGCCTACCCTACCCCCTCAGACTAATACTATCAACGTGTGTGAAAAGAAAATCACTTCAACACACTTTGTTTTTGGAGTTCGTACACTTATTAAATCAAACAATCTACACCTGTCTGTTGCCTGTATCAATTCATTTACTTGGCAGCAAAAATTTATTCGCGCAAAACAACCTTGACGAGTTACCAATCTAAGCTGAGATTTTTATAGATCCTGGTTTACTATTACTTCGATAAAGTTAATAAGTTAGTAAGTAGCGAAACGTTAGTAAGAACAATTTTGTTTCTTTTCCCTCACCGAAAAATATGGATTTTTAATGATGACGGAAAATTTGAATTTAACAAAATATTTGTATATATTGCACATTTAGTATGTTAAGATTCAGAAAATACAAAGGTTAAGTTGATTGACAGGTACGTACAATAACTGGCATTGGTAAATTATTATATCTGACTGGACTGCCTTTTCCATTTGTAAACTGTGATGTCCAACTAATATACGCCTGTCGAATTACATTTTTAATAGTTTCACTATTATCTATTACACGCCACCGGTCTTTTAAATTTACTTGACTACGATTACTATGTCGAAAGGATTGATGCCAGATTTGAGACCAACTTTTCGAACCAGGAGCATACATTACTCCATGCCATAATGCTATAGATTCTTCAATTGTCCAAGGTGTTTTGTGTGATTTCCATTCCTCTTTCGGAAGACGGATTATATACTTCCTAACTTTCTTTTTTTCTGGAAAAAGATACGAACAAATTGAGTAATCCATTCAACCAAAATAAATTATGTTCAGTTAAAATCAGGTTGAATGCTAAGTCATATTGGCATATTAAAAACGAATATTAATGCTATAGATGTAATTACGTTGATGAGACCATCAATTTTAACTGATATGTTTTAAAAATCCGTAAACACAGATCATTTGTGTGCCTTTTTGCTCAGTAATTTGGAAGAGTTTAATTTATATGAGTTGAGGAAATCAACTTCATGCCTTTCGAGTATTACTCTGTCGAAATTAGCTACTTTATTTGTAACAGTGCTCTATAAATAGACATTATTACTTAATATAACAGTTGTATAACTATCTGGATTTACAGATGATAATCTTCGAACGTCTGAGTAGTTAAATGTATTACTCCTTAGTGATAAAACAAAGTTTTTATAGATACTTTAAAAAGAAAACATATACCTTCAGGGACAGGTGTACACGTTGATGTTGAGGGTGATGGCCCACAAAATTGTTCAAAGCAACATTTGTCAACTAATTTTCTTCCTTTTTGTTCACAATCCATATCAGCGTTTTCATTACCACTAATTATGGGCGTATGTTTCAATCCCTTACTATCGGCTAAAATTACTAGAATAGTGAAAACCAAAACAGTAGTATTGAACGGATGATACGGTAAGTTAATTACACATTTGCTTATTGAAAAGGAATTTCGACACCCGAAAAGATGCTAGTGCAATCCAGACGTTTATTTCTCTTACTTGTTATGATATCAAAATAAAGATATGCTCTTATGAAAATCAATTATTCTGCATAATTTGAAGCTGCATCTATCAATGTTTCCACCTAGCTCTCGATTTCTAAACGACGAAGTTAACATGTTTAGCGCGTAAAACATACAGGATACGCTGTTTACGAACAGGTTTAACCCCTTCAGCATCTCATATTACGCGATCTTCTCAAATGCTGAGGAATGATAAGTTCGTAGCTTAAAAAACGCTCGATAATTCTATTTTACCGTTAGACATTGTTATTAATTATATCACGACAGTGTTGTAGTTTTTTGGCGTTGGTGGTATTTACTTAAACGAATGATGTTTGCTTCAAAAAACTTGGATGTAGTTCTTTTAAACAATTGGTGCAGTGAACCAAAGGTGATGGATATTTTTCTCATCTCGATATCGACTGCACAAAGTTTTATTAACAACGAACCAATTATTGTTACAATGAGCCGGTTGAAGTTAGAGCCCTCAGATTAAATAAATGTTGGTAATGGTAAAGATTACTAAGCTTTTATTGTACAGAACTCCCTAATTGGGGTCAACGTTATTTCTACATGTATGCAACAAGCAGAGAACACATTCACAATACTTTTAAATCAGTCACGTGTAACACAGAACCCGGCAGATTTTCACATCGGTTCAAGTTACCATACCATATTAGCACAGCAAGATGAAATTATCAAGATAAATTCCAGAGTAGCAGAAATATTAACAGTATCAGTAGTTATTAGTATTTAAATTCAATTGTCAAGAAGCCCTAAAGCTATACTTTTTGTATTCTATAACTTGTTAGTAAGCTATGTCTGCGACGGCACCTCAGACAATTATTTATGCATACATCATGTTTCCAAGTCTATGATTTTCAAATAAACATTGATAAATATTACACCGGGAAAGTGGGGAATTTCGAATCGCCTTTAGTTAAACATGAAATAATGGAATGATTTTCACCGAGAATCAGCAACGAACGGAGAATTATTGAATGTTAGATAGCACTGGACACAGCCATTTAACTTACAACAGGTGATAAAGTAAGAAAAAATTCGTATAAGATTGTCACAAAATGACTTAAATATATATTCCAAACTCAAGTAGTCAAGGTTAGTGAGTAAAGCTGAGTGAAGGAAATCTATATATCATATAAATATCTACTACCTAAATTTGTAATTCTTTCACTAAATATAAAACATTCGTCAACTATCAGTGATAAATACACTATTATATGTTTTAGGTAGTTACGATTGGTAGCAATGAGTCAGGAGAGTCGTGGTGTGCAAAGAATCTAAAAAAGGTTAGTAATCTATTTTACTGGAAATTGATTTTAAAAAATACTTTTTTACGGTAATGGATTAATCGTCTAGAAAAAAGTATTACTATGATTATAGACATATATATCGCAAGAACATTTTATTATCCGATCGGTCGGTTAACGAATGTGTACATGGTCTCCGGGGCACTTAACAACAAAATGTACCAATTTTGTTATAACAAAGAGTTTTAAACACATATGGAGATTTCCCGGTATATATACCTGGTGTTTGGAGTTGTTCAAGTGGTATTTCGTCACTGAATCGCCTCAAAGTATCCAAAGTTATAAAAACTGATGACAATTTAAGTAAATGTTGTTGAATGTTGGCAAGACTGGGTAAATTTTTATTATCTGCTTTATTTAGATCCTATAAGTAATTAAAAACGATTTTAAACAAGTAGTTATATTTTTCTTTAGAAAAAACATAATTATGGGGAAAATGATATGAAAACAGTTCCAGCATAGTTGCTGAAGCATAGTTACTATCCCAGTGTTTTAGCTGACCGTGCTCAATTATGAATACTAGTGAGTTAATATGTCCTCAATACCTTTAGAAGATGAAGTAACTGCGCTTGGCTAAATTAGAAACAATCCGAAATAGAGGCGTATAGATGGTATGAAAATACACAGTTCCTACTAAATATAAAAACTGACGAGCTAGAATAAGTTTGTCAAACATATATTAAAAGTCGGACAATAACGCAAATTAACACCAAATTATAGGTGATATATGTGTATCAACCAACAGCTCGAAACCAGTAATTTCTGATGTTTTCTTTGATAATCTTTTTTTATTTTTAAAATAATTAACAAGCTGACTCTGCAAAGTTGAACTTCGAAGGATAGAAATTCTAGGAATCTCTCTGCTCATTACTAGTATTCTACTGAATGAAAGCCAAGTACTTTAGCCGTTAATCTATCGCTCCACTCTAAATCCCATAAGCACAAATAAATGGCAAAGATAGTTGGAAGTTAGTTTGATAAAGTGAAAAACCAAAGAACCCAACAAGTAATTAGATGGATGCAACCATGAAATAGGTTAGGAGTGTATACTGATGAAAGAAAACAACTAAGAAACAGGTATGCTGTGAGTCATTTTCAAGTTTAGCACAGAATAGACTTCCTATGTTCATATTAGTCATTACCAAGTAAAGAGGATTATGAAATTCTCACTAAAAAAATAGATATTCTTTGTAAACCTAACCTGGTAATCTGTTTGCACCTGTTGAATGATCTGTATAATACCGCTCTTATCATACGCCAGTCTGTAAATGTTACTGAACAAGTTTGGATTCATATGAGTATTCAATGAGATTAATGAGTCCTCAATATTAACAGTGTCTTTCATTACTTCACGTTTAGTTAATGTTTTTAATGCTGAAATGCTTAAGCTTTCATTATCCTCTATAAGAAAAAAAGGTAATTTACGTGGTGCATGGGATTTTCGAATACGGTTCAAAAACTTCCTCTAAATCCTCTTCAGAAGACTAGATGTAAATTTATACAATAAAAAGTATAACTTGCCAAAGATGTATTTGTGAATTTGATACAATGTAACATTCTGCTACAGTAACTCCTTAATTTACAACAATAATCAATCCAGCCAAACGCACGCCTAGATGAAGTTTTCTGTAATATAAAAAAAGATGTAATAAACATTGATGTATGTTTGAGCCCTACAACTTGTTAACAATCGTTAGCTTAGCAACAAATATTTATAGAACCGGGTCCTGGAAAGCAAACAGAATTTTAAATCTTAGTTCCACACTTACTCAGCGTCTTTAACACCGATAAAATGTGTCCCACTGCAGCGTTAAGATCTATGGTCAACCATCCTATTTGCTGGATGACAATTCTGAAACTGAATCCATATAGGGACGTTTTTATTTACATGGTTTTTCAGCAAAGACTACATTTTAATATTGATATCCTTCAACTAATTATGACCAGATAACAAATATGTACTGGAAAGTATCAAAGAGCTATAGGTGAAATTGTTTTCTCCTATTTATTGTAGACTTATAATTTTCGGATTCAAGCACTCGACCATCACAAGTTTAAGATTTTCTGTACATACTATCTGAATACTTAAATGACCCGTACACAAAAATACGTTGCAAAAGTATCTGGTGAGTTGCTTCATGAATGTGGTAGTCATTCACCTGCAATTAAAGACAGATTTCTATTTTGTAGTGAATACTTCATAGTCACAATTGTGAGATTTTAAAGCTCTACCAGAGGGAGGAAATTTGACTTCGCTATAGAAAGTGCTTCGGAATGGGTAGATCAACGAAAATGACTGCCAACATGGATCACATGAAGGAACTGCAGAAAATTCATCTGGAGTCTCACTGAATGCTGACAGTCACGTTAAAATATCTAAATAGTATCAAATATACAACTTAGGAGTTCGATGTATATCTATAGATCAAGTTATCAGAGTACCCACTTCGAGTTAGTTCCCAATATTATTCAATTTCTCATTGGCTCCAGAAGTTGAATGAGCTTTAGAATCCATGACACAACAGCTAAAAGCTTATTATCTAAGGACATGCTCTATGGTCGGATAACCACTCCTATACTGAAGAATTCATATTTTCTTTAGTTTGCTACATAATAAAATTAATGTCTGCACACAAAACTGTGTTCTTAAAAATGAACGAAAAAACTCCACTTGTCACATTATGTTTGTGACGCCATTCTGACTAAACTTATGCAATACATGATTACTATTACCACTCATTCGAGAATATCTAGGCACATCAGATTTATTTATTTTAACACAAAGACATTGGTACAAGGAGGCACCAAATACATATGCGCCACAAAAATCTCATTCAATATGTGTGAGGGCTGTGATACTGCCCGGATGCCCAAACCGAAGCACGTGGTTTTCTTAGGGGGCCACACCCCGAGCCTTTGACCAAATGGTCTAACCCACAAGGCAGTGGAGCATCGTAAGGAGATGCAGTCCCATGGTAGCCGGTGACCAACAATTGGTTCATACGCCATTTGTTCCCGCAGGATACCGGAGCCCATGTGCACCATTGATTTGGAATCCGGTTAATGCGCCGGACATTCGCTTTTTGTTCTCTCATTTTCGTAAACAACACCCCCACCACGAGAAGGCAGTGAGTAGGACTTCCCTGGCAGAGACTGTATACGCGTGGCCATGTGAGAGCATTTCGAGAGGGAGAGCGGACTCTCCCCACTCTCGGCCGTACCAGCACATCAGAATTCAAAACTATTATTTACCTGGGTCGGAATTTCTAGTAACAGTAGGGAAAAGATATAGGTTATTTATCAAATGTATAGAATATACGTTTATTTTTCAAAGTTATTCTGCTTTGTATTGAGGTATTTTCTCTTGAAATACTGTCGTGGCGAAGTTTAAATGGTGGGAAATATACGGTAATAAATGTCCCGTGACCACTACCAAGAAACACTCAGCATCAGTGACAGTGGCAAACAAACTTGTTAAGTGGTGAAGCCCTACCCATTTAGAATTAATTTACATTTTTATCGGGTTGGATGGTGTTTAACGGTATTCGACTTCTAAAAGGATGGGGGTGACTTAAATGTAGAGAATAGAGTAGCAAACAATTGACCTATATTACCTTAAATAGAGCTGACGCCTTAAAATTACATGGAATACTAAATGGAAACTCAATGAAAAAATGTACTATTCATTTCATACTTGGGAAATTATGAATTGTATATTCAGAAGCCTGCTTCCCCGTATATTTTCGTGATTTTATAACCTAGATATTTGAAGTGGGAGCTCAGCAAGAGCTTAGAGATTTTAAGATACCTCAGACATTTTGAACGAGTTGTAATAAAAAATACCAGTTAACGGCTTAAGATCAAACAACTGCCGATGAAAATCCAAATATCCTACATAAACAGAATATAAACCATATACTTCGAAAATCTTGTTATTGTTCATACTATATTAAGTACAAATATATATATATATTTCTCCAGTTAAGGTTCAAAGGTAAATTATTCTTAAACGACGCCCTCAAATGCCCTGGTACGACCGAGGGTGGGGAGAGTCAGCTCTCCTCGAAATGCTCTCACATGGCTATGTGTATACAGCCACTACAAGGAAAGTCCTACTCACTGCCTTCTTACAGTGTGGGTGTTGTTTACGAAATTAAGAGAACCAAAAGTGAATGTCCGGTGCTTCAACTGGGTTGGTGAATATGGAGGATTCACATAGAGGAGTTGGAAAACCCCGACTCCAAACCAATGGTGCACATGGGCTCCAGTATCCTAAGGAAACAAACGGTATATGAACCAACTGTTGGCCACCGGCTACCATGGGACTGCATCTTCTTACGTTTCACCACTGCCTTGTGGATCAGACCTTTAGATAGAAGGCTCCGGGTGTGGCACCCTAAGAAGACCACCTGCTTCAGTCTGGGCACCCGAGTGGTATCACAGCCCACACACAAACCAAGCGACTTGTGTGGCGCATATGTACTCGGTGCCTCTTTGTACCAATATTTATGTTCAAATAAATAAATAAAAACATTAAATCAGTTGTGGAGAATTATTTTTCAAAATATGAATAAACTTTTTTCGGGAAGAAGAAAATATGGAACTCAGTAATTTATTGTATTGTTAGGTAATGCAGTCAAATATATTGTTAGTGTAGATCGTATAAATACATTTAGTTAACAAATTTATATTAACTGTCTAGTTCAACATATTTAACTTAGCTCATTAATCGGGTCACTAGGTTACACACTATTCAGTGTAGTTTTGATTGTTTTTAAAACGGTTATGGATCTGTGGTTGATGAATATGTAAATCTTCATCTACAGTCTTACCTTCTTCCTTACACCGGGTGGTTTCAGCTCTTGTCCAGTTATACAGGGTCAAGTAGACAATGGTCTGTGGTCATGATAGGTTGCAGTATTAATATTTTGTCAAATTATTAGACTTTGATAACGTTTCACAGTTCGAGCCGTTGGGTTTTTTTAAAGTGATAATGCATAGCTGAAATAGTTATGGCAAACTTACCTGTTACAAATAACTACCAATCCTTACGCAGTTAGATACCATACGGGAGCGAATAAAAGTTGCGCATTTAGAAGAAAAATCAATTAAAGTCATTCATTAAATACTGTCAGGTGCTACCTCATTTCTGCTTATATGAAAAACACAGCAATCTATTGCCAAGGCAGCTAGGAATCGGGTTGTGAGGACATTTAACGGATAACTAGTAATTGTAGAAGGATACATGGAGTACTTCGCGCTATCAACACAAGAGAAGTGTCGTGAAAATATTTACGTTAAGGCTAATGAGTTTAATATGTGAAGCATCAGTCCAAAAAACGCATGCACCTACGACTCTCGAAATTAAACGAAGACTAATGTGGCTTGGTTTTCAGGCATTATTATTTTATTTTAACACGCAGATGTTGGTACAAGGAGGCACCAAATACATATGCGCCACACAAATCTCATTCGATATGTGTGAGGGCTGTGATACTGCCCGGGTGCCCAAACCGAAGCAGGTGGTTTTCAGGCAAGGAAACAAGTTTTGTGTTAGTGATACTATACAGCGTAACAGTTGCAGTAATCCGAAGCAATGAATAGATATGTATTATATTCACCTATTTTACATAAAAGCTTTGCATTCTTAATGCACAAGGTTAAAACAAACATGAGGAGTATATGAAGTTAGTTACAGAAATATCAAATTAACGACACGAACGATAACCTGAACAACCAATCACGTATAATGCATTTTGCGGCACATTATTTTGAGACATGATACCTAGTAATGTCATTAGATTGTGTTTTTATTTTTCGAGTCGCTGTCCTGTAAATAAAAAACAGAAATCTATACCCACTTTCAACTGAAATTCCTCCCAAAAGTCAATCTTTGGCTTAATAGTTCAAAACACTACGTAATATTGAGATGAGAATTACCATGCCATTGACTTTTAACAACTATTAAGCAATAGTTATTAGTCCAAACTGGGGTGAATCCATCGAGAAGTGAAAAGTAGGGTATGTCCGAATACAATGAATAGTATAAAGTGAGGATTTCAGTTTGAACAACACAGGTAGTGATGTTGGTGCAGTAGGAATGTGACGTTTTAACAGGATAATGATAGTTCCACTTAGATTATAATGCCGTCAGTAACTATCCTTAAAATTAGGCCGGTGAAACTATACTATGCCGATGACCTTAAGTGAATTCAAGGGTGACCTTGGGGTTAAGCTATAAGAGTGCTACTTACACACAAGAGCCCTAAACTACATAAAAATGGTAAAATTACAAAGGATTAGGATACCCAAAGATATCAGTCAACTCATTAGTGCTAAATAGCAATAGGTTGTAGGTCATAGTTATCTGATCAGAAAAAGTACTAACCCTTTGCCTTAAGTCTTTTAAGAGCTAAATCAACACTAAAACTTCCTGGCTCTAACTCCCAACCGAACACGGTAAGACTGTACTATAGCAAAGACCACCAAATGCAAGGAGTGACCTTGAGACCAGTCAATCGGAAGGCAGATTATTTGTAAACGCTCAGAATATAGTGAAGCGATAAAAATGAGGAGGACACGATGTTTTAAAATCAATAATGGACTTACTGGTGCTAAATAACGATCATACAGACTAGATATCAGTCCTGTGATTAGGACACCATAATTTTTAGCTTTACATCTAACAAAACCCAACTTCTAACCCTGAAGCTACTAAACCTAACGCCTAATTCTAGTAATCCTCATCTTAACACTGATAGCCCAAACATACTGACCTTAACAATTTATCCCACGAGGAAACCACCACCCAGTCTTTTCGAAATAGGAAATATAATGAAAACCAAGAGTTTAGTTGCAAGAATTCCAAATTCGCGCACTGGTTAGCTTAATCCTGATTAATCACCTAAGTATAGTCCTAGCGGTAACATCAGTTCCGGTGTTTTTAGATGTAGAGCCGAGAATCGGGGTCTGTCTTTATTACAAAGCTAAGATAGTTAACCTGAAAAATCGATATTTGACACTATTAAGTCCACCTAACCCCCTACGATTTATTCGTTTTGACATATTTCGGAGTTCTCATATGAAAACAGCATTGATTGATTATTTTTGATCGGCCAGAATAAAGGCTACTGACAAACTCGCGGTAGGTCATCAGTACGGTGTAATCTTGACATAAACTGTTAAACTCCTAACTTCAACACTCCTAGTCTTAACAACCTAAAACCTAATATACTGACTATAAAAGTTCCTACCACAAGCAAATCATCACCTAATCATATAGATATATGAAATATGATGAAAACCGCGAGTTTCAGCAAAAAGCTTAGCATGACAACATCTACAATTTGTGCGTCGACCCAATTCATTCCGAGTGGTCAAGCAAGGCTACCGATGTAATATAGTTCTACCCCTAATATACTTTTAGATCAAGAATATTGGCAATTAGATAATTTGGGAAATAATGTAAAGACGTACCATCAAAAACTTCAGGTGATTTGAAAAATCCATCAGGGGTTTAGGTACTTTGGAATATCCCAATTTCAATTCATTTGTAATGTCATTAATAAAGCCAAGCGTCTCCATTACTATGTCATCGACTATTCCAGCCATGCGGATCCCTCCAGTGTTGTCACTGAGGGAAGCAGGAGATGAAGATGCGAATTGACAGGTCCATTCAACAAATGTATCCAAAAAGATGACTTTCAAACCATGATTATCCGCAAACGTTAACGAAAACTCTTGACCAACATCAAGAACCAGTAGAGAATCTTAAAAATAAGTATAGTAAGTCAATAGAACCTGTAAGAAG